TCTCTCTCTCTCTCTCTCTCTCTCTCTCTCTCTCTCTCTCTCTCTCTCTCTCTCTCTCTCTCTCTCTCTCTCTCTCTCTCTTGCACACAATCAACACAGCGACGAACATTCAACAATTTTCCAATTACACACATTTCAAACTCTCTCTCTCTCTCTCGGAAATGCGATACAAATTTGTGTGAGCTATCAAAAACCATTCTCCCGAAATCATATGTTCAAACAATTTGTCCAGTATTCAAAATCCGGGCACTCCGTGCCGCACAAACTGCCGTGAAGGCATGTGTCCTAACACTATCGTCACGCACAAACACACACACACACACAGAGAGAGAGAGAGAGAGAGAGAGAGAGAGAGAGAAAGAGAGAGAGAGAGAGAGAGAGAGAGAGAGAGAGAAGGCATGTGTCCTAACACTATCGTCACGCATGGAACCCGAAACACATTCGGACAAGCAGCCACGTGGCAGGAGCACCATCGGCGCCGCCAGAAATTGACTGCTGCCACGTGGCAGGACCACAATCGCCGCCGCCCGAAATCGATGTTGCCACGTGGCAGGACCACCTTCGTCGCCGCCGGAGATCGACGTTGCAACGTCCTTCCCCACCATCGCGCGACCCCCTATCTGTATCCCCTCCCCCTATCCGTATTGCAACGTGGCAGGACCAGCATCGCCATCGGCAGAAATCAGTATTGCCATGTCGTCGGCGACTCTTCAAAGGAAACTTCAAGGAACGGCCGACGCACCTCCAATGGTCAAGCACTTTGACAGACTCCCGTGTCTTCTTCTGTCCATTTACCGACCGTCTGCTCAAAGGACCGGAGTCATTGAACTGGCCTCCCTATCAACCGTATCCGCATCGGCATCCTACCACCTGTTACGCACAGCTCTGAGGTCGTCATCGGGGCACCACATTTGCACCGCTCCGTGAAGGTACGGTCTGCCAACCAGCCGAGGCTCCATGTGCGCCACGTACGAAACATCTCCTCGCATGATAGCAAGGTGTTCCTCGGCGATGGCTGACATGAGGTACCTGACTACGTCGCCGACAACGTCACTGTTCGGGAGCACCCAATTGTTGGGGACAACCTCCGACAACTTCTTCACCGATAAGACGACCTCCGCAAGGTTGTCCTCGACGTTGTACCCCAGGCCGACCGTCATCCTCATCGCCATAAGGCCGTTGACGAGGGCATAGTACACGCGCGTGTGGACCGTGTGGACATCGGGACACCACTCCGTCTCTCGCTCCAGTTCCGACCCTCTCTCATACCTCATCTCCTGAATGACGACCTCCTTTCCGTCGATCCGCTCACGGACCACTGCCGCCACGTCCACCATCGCTGCAACTCTCTCTCTCTCTCTCTCTCTCTCTCTCTCTCTCTCTCTCTCTCTCTCTCTCTCTCTCTCTCTCTCTCTCTCTCTCTCTCTCTTCACAGCTCTCCGATTCTCTGTCGTCGCAGCTCTCCAATTCTCTCGCTCCGCAGCTCTCCGATTCTCTCTCGCCGCAACTCTTCGATTCTCTCTCGCCGAAGTTGTATCTGTGTCTCTCTCTCCCCGCGCTCTCTCTCTCTTTGTCTCTCGCCGCAGCTCTCTCTCTCTCTCTCTCTCTCTCTCTCTCTCTCTCTCTCTCTCTCTCTCGCGCGCGCGCGCACAGTCTCACACAGACGCGCAAATTGCCTGCGTGTATCACCGATTGCACAGCAAGAAGTGCGGCAGCGAACGGTTGTGTTTGTGCTTGAACGACAGCGGCAGGCAGGTATTTATGAAGAAGCGCGGTGGTCTGTGGGAGTCCCACCCGGTCCCTTCCATACTGCGAAGGCACGGCCACGCTTTGTCCCAATGGACACCGCTTTCCTGCTCTGTCCGTGTGTCTCCCTTCAAAGAAGAACGGGTACTTTCTCCGTTTTGTCGTTGTTGTTGTTGTTGTTGCTGTTGTTGTTGTTGTTGTTGTTTACTTCTTTGCTTTCGAACGGGTGTGACTGTTCATAGCTCCTTCGTTTTTTTGTCTTTTTTTTTTGCCTTCTTCAATATTTCCGCTCATGCCTCCCACCCTTGCACAGACTCACACCGCCTTTTAGGATGTGCATCGCAGGCAGGCTGTCCTCCAAACCCGTCACAGGGAAGACAGGTCGTTGTCACGACCCCCCCGAGCCTCGCGAGGGCTATTGGGTCCCCTTGGGCCCCGACTCGCCATCACACCCAGTAGCAGCTGAAGGACAGCGTTGCCTTCTGTCATGGCAGTGGCCACTGCCCCGATCTGCGTGGCCATGTCACCGAGCCTCCCTGCCACCATCGTTGCCCCCGCTGTCTGTGCTTCTGCTATCGTCGCTGCCGCCTTGTCCAGCCCGTCGAAGTACACCCTCGTTGATTCTGCAAGTGTCACACTCATCCCTGACATGGACGAAGTCCCATCCCCATCGTTCACCCTCCTACTGGACGTGCGTCTCGTCTTACCGGCGCTAGCGTTGCCATCAGACCTCTCCCGGTCCGAACCTCCTCTGTCACTTGATCCTCTCGCCGAACTGTCCCCGTCCTTCGCATTGAGAGAGTCCGAGTTCAGCGTGTTGTCACAGGTCCCCGACGGCTTTTGCTGAATCTAGTCCAACTCCGCCCACAACCTCCGATCGAAGTTGGCGTACAGCCTGTCCGCCTCCCTCTCTTCTACTGTCACGTCGAAGTATCCTGGCTTCCCAGACCGACCCACCTTGTCTGCGAGCACCTTCAACTTCTGCCCCAACGCGAACCACTTCTTCCGGCAGTCTTCCGCAGATCGATTCCACCCTTCATCCCTCATCCGACGGGCGATCCACTCCCGTCTTTCCCCATGTTTCTTTAGCTTGTGCACACTCGACGCATCCGCCATAAGAGCGTCGTCTTCGCGCTGGATCCTAACAAGAGCCAAGCACTCTTCTAGCGACCTTTGAACTTTTTTTTGCGCGGGAGGAGCTTGCACACTTGCCCTGCCACGAACGCCTCCTGCATCCGTGCCCTGCATGACAGTGCTTCCATCCGCGCAGCCTCCGGCCTGTGCTGACGTTGACGTTGCGGTTGGAGGACGGCCACGTCAGCGGCCAGTCCTCCCTGTGCCTGCCCCGACTCCCGTGGCGGGGGCAAATGGAGATGGTTGTTGGAGCACCGCCGCGGCAGGCACATCGCCAGCATCTGCCCGCTGCCCCTGCGTGGGCGTTGCATGGCCACTCCTCTCCGCCGCTGGTCGAGAAGAATTGGAAGTGTCAATAGTCGGCACATGTCCCCCGTCGCATTGTTCATAGCGTCCAAATTCGTGACTTGCGTCACCACACCTCCCCTTTGCAACGTTGTCGTGCTCCCGCTCCTGATCTGCTCGGCGATCACCGTTCACCCCAAACCCCGCCCCGCTTCTGTTGACACCGCACTCCAGGTCGTCGTCTTCCCCTAGCAACGTTGCTGTGAATCCTGGAGGAGGCACCGATCTAGCTGTGAAACCGCTGAAAGGAGAGGACATTGCGCGGGGTTGAGGGGACCCCAGCATCTGCTGTCCGTCGTAAGCAGCGGCCATCACCGACTGCTGGAAAGGCAGCTGGCTCGCGCACCGCATTTCACGCAGGCCTGGTGGATCGTTTCGCCACTGCGGCAGCGAGGCGACTTGGGAAGGATACGAAGGGGGAACTCCGTACCTGTTCGCATCCTGGCTTAACATGGACAGGTGTGCTGGTGGAGGGGCAGGTTGTAAGCCCCGCACACCCTCCGACCGGTTTCGATGCTCTATCTCGCCATACTGCTCTTGAAAGGTTGCCTCCTGCGACCAACGCCACCTGTCCATGTCACGTACTCGCCCCCCTCCTCCGGAAAGCTCCAATCTTTCGGTGGATTTTCCACTGTTCTCACTTTGCGGCAGACCTTGGGTGGACGACAACCCACAGCACCACTGCTACCAGCAACAGCACGACAATGAGGAGAATCGCGATGGCCACAACAACCAAAAGAAGAAGAAGGGTGATCGCCAATGGCCAAAGGAGACTGCGGTCCGTGCACCGACCCTGTCCCACGTCCTTCCCCCTACAGCTCGACGACGAACGACCCTCCCCGCAATGGGCGAAACTGTCCTGTGTCCCCTCCCTGCCCGCGAGCCGTTGTGGACGTCGCACTGTCCCACACTCTCCCACAAGCCCCCCAGGATGTGTAGGTGACGTCTGGCGTGGACGAAGAACGGCTCGATAAGGAACTGGAGGATAGGAGATTGGATGATGCGAGTGGCAGATGCCTGACAACAATCGAGCGCCCGTCCAAGCCGATGTCCTCAGCACAGGGTGTAGACGACACACGCGAGCAATCTTTCCCGTGTCCCCTTTTGCACGGTTCGGAAGGTGTGCTTTCCACGAAGGCGATCCACAAACGGATTGGCCACATGCCGCAATCCAATGCCTTGCAGCAAGACCGGCGCCGATCACCGTCAATGCCCTGCCTCCAGCCCTGGTCGGCTGGAGACGATGCACAACTCGGGCCAGAGTGCGGGCAATGGATGGCGTGCGCTGCATTGTTGTCCTGGCTATGGCGTCGGCGTCGATGATAATGGCCGACGTTCCGTCGACATGCATGCCTCATGCAGACGAGGGGCTCATGAACAGAGTGCGTGTTCGTTTTGGCCCCTTGCATTCCATTCGTACATTTTTCGCGTTTTTTTTTTCACCTCCCAGCCTTTTCAAATTTTAAAATGTCCACCGCGCGCCGAAAATTCAAAAAATGTGTGCGGGGCCGTCGCGAGACACCATGGGGTAGCCTAGGACCGCTCCATTTGCTATGTGACAGCGGGTGCATGTCCGTTCTCTCGCCAGGACCACTCCACCTGACATCTCACAGGTACGGCCACCTCCATGCACGCACCTCTCCGTTGCCTCTCCGTTGGCTACGGAAGGGGTGCCCCCCCCCCTACCCTTCCGTAGTCGATGGAATTCTTGGTTGGCAGGGGGTACGAACGGGCCGCGGGGGGAGTGGAAACACTTCCGCTCGATTTCCAAAAACCACCGCGCACGTCTGTGGGATTCCGCGCACCACATTTTGGAATTCCAAAATGTTACTGCGCCGCTGTGGGGTACCTCCCTTAGCGCAGCGATGCATAACTCTCCGAATTTGGGGAAAGTAGAGTAGTGCAATGAGACCCAATAGCTTTTAAAAGCATTTATGCCCTCCCATGGTGGGGGAATGGCACACACGGCCTCCCTCCACTACACATTACTGTACATGCATTTGGACACTCATAGGACCAGGTGCATGCGGACAATTCCAACGTTGTGAATGTATCCCGTCAAGAAAGTGTCCGAATGCATGTGGAGTGTTGTGTAGTGGAGCGAGGGCCACAGTTCCAGCTACTAATAAGAGCCCTTGACGGGTTCAAACCTCCCAAAACAACATTGGGCCTCCCTGCACTACAAGCCAAATATGCAAAATGAGACTGAATCTCCCACTAGAACATGGGAAGATACACCGCCATATTTTTTGTCTTTTGCGCGTGTAAAGATTATAGTATTTTTTAATGAAAAAAAGGTACTGTCCTTTATATTACTTCCACGAGACGAGGCTGGGGACCTCACAATTGTACCCGGAGAAAACAAACCTGAGGGCCGAGGCCATTACCCATAATCGGCTCTAGTTGGAAACCGGGTCCAGCATCCCATTCTTCTGGCCTTTTCCAAAATAAAGATCTCCTTGAAGCTCAAAAAATACGGAGGGAGGTATTTCCATAAACTCTCCTAAAAAAGACATAATTCTATTCCAAAAAGAAATACCAAAAACCTTTACCTTTCGACTCTAAACATGAGTCTCCTGGGCTAAAAGAAAAGGCGCTATTACAAAAGCCACTGAGCGTAAACCACTTTACCATCCATCAAACCTTCTACAAAATTGCCTAAAGTGGCCCAAGTTTTCGTGAACCTGTGACGAACTGTTTTCTGCAATTGCGTGATTTCCTACGCAAAGGTTACTTCGGGGGTTGAACCGGGAGGACCCGCTGGATTACGTGAATGACTTTGTTTTTCTTGTCTTCTTTTGAATCGACGCCAGGGTAATCTTGTGACGGTTGGGAGTTGATCACGGCTTAGCGAGTGCCAAAAATGACTGTTGATATAGCTTCTATCTTGTTTTGCTGTGGGAAATGGGAATTTTGGCGCAATCGTCACGTAGGAAATTCATTTTGAATTTTTGACTGATGTAGAGTCCCCGCGGGCTCTCGGAATTTGCTTCGTTCGAAATTTCTTTTTGCAATTAGGATTTAGATCTGGCAGTCGGGAGCACCTCAATTTCTGCCGCACAGCGGTTCTTGCTTGCTCACGCCTTGCCTCGTCAGGATCTGCGCTCAGACTTTTCCGCGCCTTAATCCTTGCATGTAACTGTAATTTTTGTTTTGGTGGGCATAATTGCAACTGTGATTCTCTCGTTCTTGATATCTTTTGTAGCGCCCCCGTGCGCGCGTACGTCTTTCTCTGTCCTATTGGCCTGAACGCGTGCATGACCGGATCGATGTGCGGAGTGAGGCTACGTCCCCCATGCCGCGGCCTAGCCATGCAGTCGTAGGCACTTCCTTCCTTGTTCTTCCTCCTACTCGAACACAATCGCAGGTATCGCGCGCACACAAGCACTATGAAACACCCGCGGACGCGTCCGCGGGGTCTATCTCGGATGGCGGATGCATATACGTCCGCGTCCGCGGCCGACCACGTCCGCGTCGCGGACGTGATTTTACCATATTTTTCCTGATTTAAATAATCGGTAAAAAAAAAAAAAAAGAATGGGGTTGTAGGTATTTTTAATCCCTACAACCCCTTTTTTTTTTTTTTGAAACAGATAAGTTTTTAGAATTATAAAACATAAAAAACCAAAACGGTGCACCAAAAAAATAAATAAAAAAGTAAAAAAAAAAAAAACTTTTTTTTTTTTTTTTCATTTTTCGCTTACAGTTCTTTGTGTTGTTTAGTTTGTTGTGTTTTTTGTTTGTTTTGAAGATGTGTTGTGT